TTCACAGCCTAGAGCACCCTGTGAAATATAGACATTAACAAGATTAGCATGACCTTATTCAAAGTGATGGCTGATTGTCATTGCCTGTGCCAGCTCGGGGATTTGAACCAGAGATAAACAATGTATTTTAGCTGGCATCATGGCACAGTAATAGGCTAAAGGAGAGAATTATCCAAGAAGTTATGTGGCTTGTCCATGACCAAGCAGTGCTGTGATTAATACATCTCAGTGAAACCGGTGAGCATCTATTGAGGCTCATATGCAGCAAAGTGTTGGCTCACAGGTCATTAAATCTGGCCACTCACTTGACCAAGAAGTTTGGGGGATTTAAGGGAGAGACCCATGGAAATGCAAAGCTATTGTGAAAGAAAGATAGCCTGGAAGAACAGCGGAGTGGCTGTGAAATCGCTGTCTGGTGTAGCTCAGTGTCAGGCGACCACTCAGCAACAGTGGTACAGGGAAAGCTATAGCAGGAGGTAGGATAATCTGAAAAATTAGAGGAAAGACCACAGGGCTGCTAAGATTCTCTCACAGTTGTAGCATCTTGCAAATCTGGGAGAACCCAAGTCTCTTCTCATCTCTTTTTCTCCCCTAAAAAGGAGGACCAACCATTCCCTTCACTTCAGGGGAAGTCTGATTTATAAAGAAGAGGCTTACAGAAATAATGAAAAGTTCGTGTTTCACATACGGTCAAATGACATAGCAGTGACAGCTCTCCAGCCCTCCGGAGCCCCAGGGGCTTCCCTGCGTCCAAGCAGCCGTGCCCCTGTGCCTGCAACAGTGCACAACTCTGTCCGAACCCCTGCAGCGCTTCTCGTCTAGACGCCAGCGTGCCTTCCCTGCCGCTCTGTGTATGTGCTTGTCAATGTCCCACGCCATCGACTGCAGCGGGCAGCGCCATGCCCTCCAGGATCCTGTTGTGCGCAGACTTGCTGTCTCCAGAGTGATGGTCCCCAAACTCCCTCACTCCTTTACCTCTCCCCTCAAACCTGAAGGGCGCCAGCTGTCCTCTGCCTGTGCTGCTGCCACAGGCCCAGCTCTGCCAGGGTACGAATCCACAAAGCTTACTCGACTCACCGTAAATCAACCACTGACTGCACATGGGCTCTCAGCCCTGCCCCAAAGCCCAGCCTCATTTCTCTCCAACCTTGTTTCTCCACATGCTGCAGTCACTTCACTAAGCCTCTGAACCCATCAGTCTGTGTCTCTCTCCCTCTCTCTCTCCCCCCATTTGGTCCTGGCACCTGCTTCCAAGACAAAATGGGAGCCCGTGGACAAGAACTGCCCGTCGTTCCCCCAGGACCCTCTCCTGTCCTCCTTGTTAATGGGGGGCCAGAGGGAGGCCTGCCCACCCTGGCCTTTCCTTCCTATGTTCTTCTTTTAAATGTTTTCCTTTTTTTCAAAAAGCAGAAAGCAAGAGTGACTGAGACAAAGAGATCATGTACCCACCATTCGCCCCCCAAATACCCACAACAGTTAGGGCTGGGACAGGCTGAAGCCAGAGTCTCAGAACTCCATCTGGGTCTCCCACATGGGTGGTAGGGACCCAACTCTTGGAGGGATCACCTTCCTCCCAAGGTGCACAATAGCAGGACACTGGAATTGGAAGTGGATGTGGGACTCCAACCCAGACAGGAGGCAGGTGTCCCAGGTGACACCTTTGTGTCTCTCGGCCTCCCCTTGTCCCTCATCCCCCATCACCTCTGTCCTCTCCCTGCCTCCCAGACTTTGTAGAAGCTAGCCATATGCAGTGCCTGCCTTTGCTTACCTTTCTCACTCCAGACTGGGTCCTTTGCTGGCCCCCAGGAAAGCACCTCCGGCCACCAGAGACTGCCTTGTGTCGCTCAGCCCTCTGGCATCCCCCAGTCCTCACTGTGCCTGACTTCCCAGAGGCATTCCATGCTGCTGTTCCCACTTCCTTCCCCGTGCCTGCTTGTGACTTGTCTTTCTCTCTCACTGCCGGTGCTTCCTTCCTTCAGCCTGAAGCCTTCCCGTCCTCCTCCAGGCTCTTACATGTTGAGGCTCTGCAGAATTGCCCCTGGGCTCTCATTCTGCCTGCTCCCCAGGTCCGTGCCCTCACTCCTGTGGGGAGCTGGTGTCGCACGCACAGACACACAAATTCTTGCCTCCTGCCCCTGCTTCCCCAGGACTTCAGCCCCGTACCCCTACCCTCACCTACCTGACAGCAGCTCAAAACTGAGCTCTTCTAAAATACCAGACTTACCATCTGCCCTGGCATGCCAGCCAGAGCGTTGCCTGCAATGCTTCTCTGTGTCTTGCCTTGCCTCTCTGGTCCTGTTGATTTTGCTGCGTCAGTATTGCTGGAGTCTGCCGCCTGTTCCCCATGCCCAGTGGCCATGCTCTGTCCCATGGGGCTCCCCAGTACCTTCTCTGCACTTGTCCTGAGCATGCCTTCTTCCTGGAACCCCTCTGCCTCACCTTCTCCTCCCTCCTCCTGCACTCCCTGTGCAGGGAAGCTTCGCCTGTCCCTGCACCTGGTCCCTGCCATGAACATGCTGGCTCACAGGCTGTGGGCGTCTCCCTCCTGACTCTCGCCATTGCTGTAATGCTACCTTCACCCAAGTCTTCTGTTAATATGTCCACCCCTCCAACCTGTAAGCACTATGAGCGTGAAGACTGGCATTTGAGCCACGCTCAGCATGGAGCAGACTGGCAAATACTGCACTGAGGAGGGGATGGCTGGGGAGAATATCCATGATGGAAGCCCTCAGATTGTGCATTCCATTTTGGCTCATTTCTGCTTACTTTCTTTTTAAAGATGTATTTATTTGAAAGGTAGAGCCACCCAGAGAGATCTTGCATCCACTGTTTCCCTCCCACCACTGGTTCCCTCCACCAAAATGGGCACAACAGCCAGGACTAGACCAAGCTGAATCCAGGAACCCTGTCTTGGTCTCCCACATGGGTGCAGGGGCCCAAGCACTTGGGTCATCTTCCACTGCTTCCCAGGCGCATCAGCAGGGGGCTGGATCGGAAGTGGAGCAGCTGGGACTCGAACCTGCACTTTGATAAAAGTTGCTGGTGTATGTAGCACCCACTGCTTGCTTTCTAAAGGAGATACTGTTAAGCAGCAGGTTTGAGCAGCCTGAGAGAGAATCATGGATGTTTAAATAGTCAGTGTTTGATCCTCTTCCACATTGGGTGTGGCTTCCGGTGGCCCCTGAAGCCCAGATGTGACAGTGAGGAATCATTTGGGATGTGCTCTGCAGCCTCTCCCTGTAGGGAACGCAGCAGGTACCTGATTGCTCCTACCTTTTCCTCCCAACCTGCGCTGTCTCTGTTCTCAGTTCAGGTCTCACAAGTGATTCAAGTGTCTGCTTTTCGCTAATCGTGCTTACCATCAAACGACTTGGGTGTCTGTCCTGAGTCGCCTTTCTGTCTTGCAAACATTGGGTGTTTCAGGTTGACTTTTTCCCGAGGGTGCTCAGGCTCCCTCCCAGCCTGAGCTGGGCGCTGTCTACCGCTGAGGCGATAGAACGGGGGACCCCACGTGATCCTCCAGCACTGCAGCCTCCGTGAGGCGGCAGCTCCACGCGTGCCTGTCCGAGAGGCTGCTGTCCGTCTCTTGCCCCCTGGCGTTCTGTCTTTCCTCTCCGGCCACCTTTCTTTTTGCTTTTGACATTCTGTTGCTTCACTACAGCATATCTAAGTAAGCGTTGAATGCTCCGCAGCCGCATTACACTGCTGTGTCAGCCCACCTGCTCATGCCATATCCATCTCACTGCTAGTTTTTGTTTTAGTAGGGTGAAGTCTTGGAAGTAGTCCTTTCTGTCCTGTCCGGGCGCTCATATTTGGTGGGCGTGAGTCTGTGGGAATGCTGGAGGCCTGGTCCAGGGCAGTTTCCTACAAAGGCCAGCTGCATGTACCTCCACCCGGTGCCGGGGCCACTTTGCAGAGGCTCCTTGGGCTCTGAGTTTCCTGGGGAGCTTTTGGGTGCGCTGCCCGGCCTGCCTCTGGCCCCGGCAGATGTTACAGTTGGCATCTGTCTCTCAGGCCTGCTTGGTGCTCACTGCATTCCCTGTGGATTAAATGCACTTTGGGGGAAAGGAAGTTGCCTTGGAGATTTGCTTTGTTGTCTGCTAGCCCAGCGATGTGTTTATAACTCGGCTCCATCAAGGCACTCGTTTCTCCAGCTTGTTTGTTGGCTTGTTTTGTTTCTGTGACTCGAGGCTCCTTCAGCGTCCCTTCCACTCTGCTGGAAGTGTGGATCTTTGAAGCGGTTTTCACTGCCAGCAACCAGGGGAGGTGGACTAGCTTAGGGAAGCAAGATGCAAAACTAATGAGCCCAAAAAGAAAGAGCGAGTTGTTCAGGGTCACGTGTCAGAAGCTGTCCCCGCCACTCCCCAGGATGTCAGTGGGACTTGGTTCTGCCTGTGGTCCTCCAGGGCATGTCTTTGTTGCTGTTCTTGGTCGCTGTCGGCCCGTGGCCCTGCTCGTTTAGTCCCAGAGCCCGTGTCTCCCTCCCTAATTGCGCGTGCCCGTCCTGTTAAATTCATGCTCCACCCCAGTGTTCGTTCTTAAGCTTAGCTCCTGGTAGAGACCACATGAACGACAGTGTTGTTCTCCGGGTAACCAAAGGTGCGTACTCGCATGGCGTCCATCCATCAACAAATCGCGTCAGTTACTCCAACACGCATTTACCAAGTTTCTAAAGCCATCTTTCTCAGGTGGAATTTTCTCCACCGAGGGAAGATATCCTGGACATGTGATCAAAGGGTTTGGGGTTGAGGTTCCCGAGGGGCAGTGAGGAGAGTAGATGGGGGAAGGCAGGGGCAGCTGGTCCCGAGGGGCCGTCCTCTGGGGTTCACCCTTTGCTACTGCCACCTGGTGGCCACCACAGGCCCAGCCTGATGAAAGCTAAGGCAAGAGTGAGGGGGCGGGAAGGTGAGCAGGGAAGCTCCTCTTTCTTCACAGGTTTGAGTCAAGCCCTTCCCACCTAGGTAGTAACAACCCGCGCCATTTATTTTCTGCTTTTCCAGATCAATGAACTGAGCCATGTTCAGATCCCAGTTATGTTGATGCCAGATGACTTCAAAGCCTATTCAAAGATCAAAGTGGACAATCACCTGTTTAACAAGTAAGTGCAAGTGGGACCTGTCCCAGCCATGGCTGCCAGGAGTGTGACTTTTGTGAATTTCAGAACTCGTAATTTTTCTATGGGTGGGAGTAAAGTTTTGCTGATGAAGTTAATCCTGTGATAAACACAACCATCTGTGATTTTCGGAGAAGCAGCAGCAGGTCCTCTGGGATAATATCTCTTTGCCATATGGCATATTGTTCTCTATGAATATCTCATACATTAAAAGTGATATTCTCATTACCATTTAAATTTTTTGAAGCCATAAATGGCTTGGATATTTTAAGCAGTTAGGATCCTCTACTGTCTTATGGAAAACTTTGAAAATGATGACGTTACAAACAGAAGTGACCGCGTCAAGGAATTAGGACCACATCAGAGAATTATGATACATTTTTGTGCAACATAATTGGATGCCACGTTGGCACCGAGCGCTTTCTCTGTCGTTGGAGTGCCGTTTACAGCGTCATTGGTGGGCGCTTGTTAGGTATGAGGCAGCCCACTAGCAGCCAGAGATGCAGTGCTGTAGGGGACCTGGCCCTGCCTTCAGTGAGCTCCCCGTCTGTCTGGTGGCTGAAAACTGACAGGTGTGTGGACAGCTGTGCTTCAGTGTGCAGGGTGCACGCATGCGTGCCATCTCCATGTGTGCTTCCACGGGGGAGCCGAGGAGGGAGCAGCTCTGAGCCAGCTGAGGGAGCCTCAGAGAAATCCCTCCCACGTGAGGATCAGTGATGAAGTTTCCGAGTGGGGCCCTCATTCTGCCGTAAAGCCAATGCATTGCTTTCTCTCATAATGCTGTTTGGAGGGTGACTTTGAGGGAATTTTCCCCATCCAAATTTGAAATGTGGTATTTATATACAATAGGCTGTGCAAGGCGTGCGGGCGAGCCTTGCTGTGTCAGCTTCACTCAGCAGTAACAGAGTGCACGTGGGGCCTGCTCTGCTGCCCCTGGCCTCTCCCCTCCCTGCACCTTTCCTCTGCCCAGCCTCTTCCCTTCCCGCACTTCTTCCTTGGGCAGTGGCCACTGCATGTGGGCGGGACAAAGAGCCCATACCGTCCCAGCGTGCCTGGGACAGGGAAGACGATGTCACCAATGCCTTCCCAAGTCTCCCAGATCTTACTGGCTCTGTGAAACACCAGGGATCTTCAGAAAGTTCATGGAAAATGTGTTACTATGAAGAAACTACGCATGGATTTCATAAAAGTATTTTGTACCAAAATGAACTTACCTTTCAATTCCCTTTTTCCATGAACTCTCTCAAGTCCCCTTGTGCACCTGTGGCTTCAGTGGCTCCTGAGCGCCAAGCACGGCTTTGGCAGTGGGACGCGAGTCTGGGTAACTCCTTGTCTCCCTGAGCTGTCCTCCACCCTGTGGTCGTTTCAGAGAAAACATGCCGAGCCATTTCAAGTTCAAGGAATACTGCCCCATGGTTTTCCGTAATCTGCGGGAGAGATTCGGAATCGATGACCAGGATTTCCAGGTGAGTTCCCTCTGTGACATTTGCTTCAAACGGGACGTGGCTCTCATCTGCCTCTTGCTCTGTGAAATAGGATGTATACCCATAACAACACAAGCAATTATGCAGTAGCCACCCCCCACTCCCCCTGCCGCACGTAGGAAGTTTGGGTGTTATTTGTGAAGGGGAAAGGGTTCTCCCAGGGACCCTCTGTGCCATGCTGTGCCGTGTCCACGCACACCTCGGTCCTCTGCCCAGAGAGCGAGCAGGTGAGTCTCACTGGATACTCTCATTGCCAAGCGGAAGCATTCGCCCAGCGCAGCCGCCTCTTGGTTTCTGTGATCAGATGGGTCAGCAGTGTGTGTGAAAAAGTCCCATTTCCTGTCTTTGCACGGGCCACTGAGGAATCTCAGGAGGTGTTTTCTTGCTGCGTTGCTGTTCTTCAAGTTGGCCACCTCTGACTCTCACTGCAGCACTTGGGAAAGGCCAGGGCCCTGCTGTGGCTGTCAGGAACCCCCCGTCCTCGGACAGGCTGTGGAGCATCTTTCTCTTGCCTCCCACACCTGCCACGTACAAATGCGAGCTGTCACTTTCCACCCCCTACCTGCCTGGTCCTCAGCCCTAACTTCTGAGCATCCGTTTCAGTTTTTAAAATCATTATTCCTAAGAAAGCTCCTGACATGGGTTAGTTACCTGAATTCTTTATCACCAGCCAGATTTTTTTTTCTTTAAGATTTATTTATTTATTTGAAAGGCAGAGTTACAGAGAGAGGGAGAGACACCGAGAAGGAGAGGTCTTCCATTCCCTGGCTCACTCCCCAAATGGCTGCAACAGCTGGTGCTGGGCTGGTCCAAAGCCAGAACCAGGAGCTTTTTCCAGGTCTTCCACGTGGGTGCAGAGGCCCAAGCACTTGGGCCATTTTCCAGTGTTTTCCCAGGGGTCTCAGCAAGGATCTGGATTGGAAGTGGAGCAGCCGGGACTCGAACCCACGCCCATACGGGATGTTCACTTCGCAGACGGAGGCTTTACCTGCCACGCCACAATGCTGGCCCCCCAGATTTTTTTTCAACACCATGGAAATTTTTCAGAACCTAAGTACTAACATCTTTTTAAATCTCATCAAATGCAGCACACATATTCACTAGTTAGCCCTGTACTGGAAATCCTAGTTTATCATGTGTTAATTGCCACGTTGCCACCCTGGATGACCTTACAAGTTGAGTCCAGGGACAGCTTATCCCCACCCTGATGGAATAGGGTCCCAGAAGCAAACCACATTTAGTATGCGTTCCTGAGGATTTGTGCTCCCACTCCCCAGCCGCCCCCTTGTTGAAAATTTCCAAGAATTTCTCCCATGCTTACTCAGCCATGAGAAGCTGCCGTGTTTGGAAAAGCATTGCTGCCCAGGCTGTGGGGTGACATTCACCCATCGTGGGCTGGGCTGTGGCTTTCACAGAAGTCCAGATCCTGAGCCAGGCTCCCCATGTGTGCCAGAGCCCACCAGGAGGAGTGCAGCAGGCAGGATGTGGGCACCTGCTTTGTTCTGAGAACCATGGCGGAGCCAACACTCAGGTTGGGGCTTAATTTTCAAGAGAGGACTTAGCTCACAATTATGGGCTTGAAATTTACTGCTGAAAAAATAAGTAACTTTTAAAGAAGAATCGTTGGAATAGTAAAAAAGGTTTCTGTGAAGTAAAAGTGAATAATCACATATAATTTAAGAACTGTTACCACAGTTGAAGAGACCATATGAAAATGGATTAGACACTGTAAAGGAATTAACAGCAGATAGCTTTGACATTTTAAAATCTCCCCTGTCTGACTCTGATGCCAAACAGGATGTCCTCCCTCTGTCCCTATCTATTTTTTTTTTTTTTTAATGAAATGACAGCATTGGGCCGGCGCCGCAGCTCAACAGGCTAATCCTTCGCCTTGTGGCGCTGGCACACCGGGTTCTAGTCCCGGTCGGGGTGCCAGAGTCTGTCCCGGTTGCTCCTCTTCCTGTCCAGCTCTCTGCTGTGGCCTGGGAGTGCAGTGGAGGATGGCCCAAGGGCTTGGGCCCTGCACCCCATGGGAGACCAGGAGAAGCACCTGGCTTCTGGCTTCGGATCAGCGCGGTGCGCCAGCCGCAGCACGTCGGCCGCAGCGGCCATTGGAGGGTGAACCAACAGCAAAGGAAGACCTTTCTCTCTGTCTCTCTCACTGTCCACTCTGTCCAAAAAAAAAAAAAAAGAAAGAAAGAAAGAAAAGAAATGACAGCATTGATGTTTCCCAGAAACTGACCCTCGAGGGCTTGTGCCGTGGTCCCTTGTCCGTGTCCTCAATTCATTACCGAAATGAAGTGCCTCATACTTCCTCTCATCCCCGGTTCTGTTAAAGAGATCCACCGTGATGCCATTGCGTTCCCAGTTGTGCACTACAGCAGGTGAAAGTGGTTTTCAGCGTTTCCTGAAATGACCAGTTCATTGGCTAAAATTCTAATACGTGAGCCCGTTTTCCTTCCTTGTTTTCCCTCTAAAAACACAACCATGTCATTTGAAAGTTAAGTTCGTGCAAATTGCTGAGTACAGACTTTGAGGAGAAATTAGGCAAGTGGAGGATGACTCACAAGTAACTAATTGGCAAGTCTGTTAACCGCTTAGCCCGAGCGATCGGCACAGAGGAGCGTGTGAGTGTAATTAATCATTCTGCCGCACTCCTCCTCTCAGCGCTGCCTGGTGCTCTTGGCATTTTAATTGCTGCTTTCTCTCTGGCAACTGTATTTTTATTGAAAGAAAAAAAAAAAAAGTCGGCTTTCAGAGTAACTTCAGTAAACTAGAGGTATCCTTTTCTTCTCTCCCTAGTCTCATATTCCTGATTTCTTTCTCTCCCAAGAGGGCATGGGGCTCCCCAAGTTTCACTGAAAGCAGGCTTGTAAATGCAGGGCTGAACCCCATCTGTTGACTGCTCGGCTCAGAAAAAAGGTGGTGACAGCAGCTTGGGCTGTGGGGCGGTGCTGGGGTGGAGGCCGGAGGTGGGCAGGGCCAGGACCAGAGAGGCCATCGCCTCACCTGTCGAGCAACTGACGCTTGCCCACCCAACCTCGTTTTCCTGTCCCAGGTCTCCCTACTGGAAGCTTGCTACAGGGAGCCCCAGCCCCCACCCCTTTGGGTACTGGCAGCTGAATACTGTGTGTTTAAAAGGCAAGGTCTGGGGCTGGCATTCTGGTGTAGCGGGTAAAGCCACTGCCTGTAGTGCCAGCATCCCATATGGGCACCAGTTCAAGTCCTGGCTGCTCCACTTCTGATCCAACTCTCTGCTGTGGCATGGAAAAACAGTAGAAGATGGCCCAAGTCCTTGGACTCCTGTACCCATGTGGGAGACCCAGAAGAAGTTCCTGGTTCCTGGCTTCAGATCAGCTCAGCTCTGGCCATTGGGATCATTTGGGGAGTGAACCAGCGGATGGAAGATTTCTCTCTCTGTCTCTACCTCTCTCTCTCTGTAACTCTTTCAAGTAAAGAAAATAAATCTTTAAAAAACAAAAGGCAACGTCTTTTCCCCGGTCCATGCCTGTGAGCGGCTTTGGCTACACTTCCCAGCCTGGTGTGAGAAGCAGGCTAGGTGACCCAGGCTCTCAGCTTTGGGAAGCCACTGCTTGGTGAGGGGCCCCAGGCGCTGCCTTTCTGTGTTTATTTTCCTGTTGTGCACACATTTTGAACAACTTTAAGTCAGTGTGGCAATGAGAAGCTCCACTGTCTGGTTCAGACTTTCCCTCGAGTTTAGTGGAGAAAGATCTCAGCTGGTCTTCTTTGTGTGAATACCTTTTTGCAGCACTGGAAAAAGCTGGTACTGACCAACGTTGACCACTCTGATCAAAGCAGAATGCAGTAATTAACCTGTGTCACTGACCTCTGTGAACTTAAACTTCCTAAAAGGAGATGAAAAACGTGTAAACATTTGTATCTTTTCTGTAATTTTTTTTAAGATTCATGTTATTTATTTGAAAGGCAGAATGACAGAGAGATCTTCCATCTGCTGATATGCCCCTCAGATGGCCATAATAGCCAGGGCTGGGCAGGAAAAGCTAGGAGCCTGGCACTCCATCTGTGCCTCCTAAATGGGAGCCAGGGGCCCCAGTACTTGGTCTGTCCTCTAGTGCCTTTGCATGCACATCTCTGGTAGCTGGACCAGAAGTGGAGCAACTAGGACTTGAATCATACTGCAATATGGGATGCTGGTATCGCAAGCGGAGTTTAACACTCTGTGCCACAATGCCAGCCCCTGTCTCTCTCTCTAGGTTTGATTTCTTGAGTATCTTTTTTTAAAGATTTATTTTTTTCTTTGCAAGCAGAGTTACAGGGAGAGGGAGGGAGGGAAGGAGGGGTAGGAAGAGAATCCTCCAACCGAATCTGCCTAGCTCTGCAGCTGTCTGGCAGCCCTGTGGGTTTTGCATGGGGGGTGGGGTTATGATGTCATGAAGTCTATATTTTTTTATTATTGTTTGAGAGGTGCAGAGAGAGGCAGATACAGACCTCCCATCTGCTTAGCTAGTTCACTCCCCAAATGGCTGCAGCAGTCGGGGCTGGGCCAGACTGAAGCCAGGAGCCAAGAGCTTCATCTGGGTCTCCCACGTGGGTGGCAGGGGCCCAAACACCTGGGTTATCCTCTGCTGCTTTTCCTAGGCCATTAGCAAGGAGTTGTATCGGAAGTGGAGCAGCTGGGACTTGGACAGATGCCCATATGGGATGCCGGCACTGCAGGCTGCAGCTTTACCCATGGTGGCTTTACCCTCTTAAGTATCTTTTTAAAATAAAACTTCTTTTCCTTGCTGTTAAATACATATTAAAACAGCAATTCTAGAGTATTCATCAACAACAGCACCACCTAATGTGTGTGTGTGTGTGTGTGTGTGTGTACACCCAGCGCTTCCAGATTCAGAATGTAGCCTGTTAGTGTTTTCGAAGTGTTTGTACTGTGCTGAGCTGAATCCCGTTCTCCTGCTAGTTGTTTGTCCCGTGGGACTCCCCACTGCCACACCCTCAAG